AGAAATAGTACACACATGTCGATCATCTTATGTTATCAAGTTATCATCTGATTACCGTACGATAGTCTAAAGTTAGAGAAAATGGAAGAGATGAGTATCTTTTGGACGTTATTATTCGTTGTTTCATTAAACAAATAATTCACACTGCAGTCGAGACTAATATGCCAGGTAAAACATGACGTTAAGTTGCTAATCCCGCCACTAAAGGCCACCTTTGATCTCATGCAGATCATCAATCTTATAATCTTCTCCAAGGCTCCAACTGTACCAACACCAAAAAATTTGACAGAAAAACGTCCCAGCTGCCGGTGTTAAGTAACTGGCCATCGTTACGGTGAGTCACCGGTCAATAGGAGCGCACCTCGCTGTGACGACGGCAAGGCGTGACATCGCTTAGGGTGCTGTAGAGACAAGAGACCCTTCGACCTTTTGAGCTGTATACCACTTCATGGGAAAACTTCTAGACGGGGGCATATTGACTATTGAGCGATAAAAGTTTATAATACTCGTGGTCTCGTGAGCGAATTATCGCGGCCCGGGTCGGGATCGAACTGGCGAAGCCTTTATGTACGTATAATGTATAGAGTTTAGGATAGATACGTCCTAGTCCTACCTACAAGACCATACATACAATTATATGTGAACAACGGACAACTTCATGCCCCACTCCATGATATCTTTTTTTTTCAAAACATCCTTTCAGAAACGAAAAAAAATTGCCATGAACGTTTCGGGGCCTCGAAATTCTACTGGATAAAGCTGTACGTCACTATCTAATATGTGTTCTTTCCACCCTATATTCCCACGTTCGTTCATATCTTTTATTGGCTATAAGGAAAACTCACCATTGCGCCGTCCTGGGTGACTGTGCAGAGGTCGGTCCGGGTCCGTCTACAGCTCCGCACCTTCCACTCAGTGACGTTCGCTGCAGTGCTGATCACCACGCAGATGACAGGCTGTCACAGGCTCAGTGTGACAGTGTCGAGCTCACAGCTGTTCATAGTTCCTTTTCTTGGCAGCCGGGTCATCCGTGGTCTGTCAGCCAGCTCTGAGATGGGGAGGGAGAAGGATATGTCAGACAAGACTGCACTTGGGTGGGAAAAGTATTCTTAAACTAATGGGAATGTTGCTCAACGAAGTTTACAATTAATGTCTTATGATTTCAGGTTCTCCGTCGTGTGTTATCGCGTCAGTAATTACGTGTCTTTTATTAAAATGCAGGTTTAAATCACATCGTTACTTCTATATATTCCGAAACGTTCACGTGTTTTGTATATCGGTTTGAGTGCATAATGCATACAAAACGCATATCATTATTAGTACGCATATTACAATTAGCACGCCTTCATTACATCGATATTGGTAGGCCTTATGTTATTGATATGTATTGGCCGGTAAAATAGGTAGATAGTGATGAGCTGAAGCCTGAATATCTTAGCATTAACTGTATGTAACTTCGCCTGAAAGGAAAGACGGTACTTTGAGCGGAATAAAAAGTTATCGTCAAGGATAAAAAACCTGAGACCTGAAAGATTGGGAATAATGTGCCTAATGCCACACCTCCCCGGTAACACCTTCACCGATCACTAGGCGTGCTTTCGGTGATAGGGAGCCTATCCCCCTAGAAAACTGGAGAGAATCGGTGCAACAGTGCTTCTGTACACTCGCAAAACTTTTAAACTGAAGTTTTTATGTGTGTTTCAGGGTCCCAGAAAAGACCGGTGGCTTCATACGACATTCAAGAACATCAAGTACAAACAAATTGTCCTGAAGCCAGATGAAGAGGTTTACGAAAGAGACCCGCATGACACCAACGCACATACACCCCAAAAAGCTGGCGGTGGACCGGGCGCTTCTGAGCAGAGCTCGCCCACGGAGCCCGCCCCTGCGCCGGGCGTCGAGGCTCCGCCGTCCCCCGGAGCTCTGCTGGGGCTGGGCGAGGCCGGTATTTTGTACGCCGCCAGTTCGGCGCTCTTCCTCTCGCTGTGCTCCGTGCTCGTGAAGCTGCTGGACCGGTTCGAGCCGGCCGAGCTGGCCGCGTTCCGGTTCGTGGGCATCCTGGTGCCGAGCCTGGTGTCGGCGCTGAGCTCCCGACACCACCTGTTCCCGAGCGGGCGGCGCTGGCTGCTGCTGCTGCGATCGCTGCTCGGCGCCACCAGCCTCGTGTGTAAGTTCTATGCACTGCGCAACATGTCTCTGGCCGATGCCAGTGTCATTCTCCTGAGCGTGCCTGTCTTTGTGGGCGTGTTCGCGCGCGTCTTCCTGCGCGAGCCGTGCGGGTGGCTGCAGGCGGCCACGGTGACGGTCACGCTGGCCGGCATGCTGCTCATTACGCGGCCGTCGGCGGTGTTCGGCTCGGCGGGCGCGGACGCCGGCGGCGCGCACCTGCTGGGCTCCGCGCTGGCCTTCACCAGCACGCTGGCCGGCGCCAACGTGTACGTCACCATGCGGCTGCTGAAGGGCGTGCCGGCTACCGTCATCATGACCGTGTTCGCCTCTGTGGCGGCGCCGCTCTCGCTGTTCGTGTGCCTGGCCGTGGGCGACGTGCACGTGCCGCGCTCTCTGGAGGAGTGCGGGCTGCTGGTGGCGCTGGGCGTCTGCAGTTTCCTGGGCCAGCTGTGTCTGACGCGCGCCTGTCACGCCGAGCAGGCCAGTCTGGTGGCCGTGGTGCGCACCGTCACAGAGGTGATGTTCGCAGTCGCCTGGCAGTTCATCCTGTTTGACGAGGTGCCGACCATGCTGACCGGCGCCGGCATGGTGCTGATCATCGTCTCGGTGATCCTAGTTGGTCTGAATAAGTGGTTGGCCTCTCTGCCGGACGATCCGGACAAGCGCCCTGGGATATGCCGCTTCGGGTAAGGGCTGGAACCAGTCTAGTCACTATTCATCAGATGACGAAAGTGCGGTCGGTATCTTGAGACTTGATATGTGATATACATGGACTCATCTAGTGGGTTTTCAATGCAATCTAACAAGTTGTGATAGTAATTGTAGTGTGCCGTGATTGTTGGGCTATGCTTGGAATGGGGACGTCGCAGATTGAGGAGATATGTATATTGTATAGCAATACTGATGGAGCGCGAAATATTGGTCTTGATGTTTGCGATAAAGCACTGATTTTCATCAAAATAACTATTATCTCTATCCGTGGCGCATTATGTCTGGAAGAGATAGATACCTATTCGTATATGTTTTCGTTACACCATATCGATAAACTGATTGGGTTTTGTGTTAAAATAAATCTGCCCTGGGGTTCTGCCATTGAAATCAATCCGAAGCTCCACCGATCCTCAATAACAGCTAACGACGGCTTGCAACTATCATCCAAGACTTACAACCGCGGATCTCTTCGCTACAGGCATCAAAAGGTAGGTGTACAAAATGATAAATGATCATGTGACACTAATGCATTATGATCTGTCTGGTCAGTGTACATACGAGTACGCACCACGTAACGTAAAACTGGTGCGTTTCTGCCAACAACTCCCCTTACAAGTAGGTATGACCTTTTTTCAGTCAAGTCATGATCTCGTTTACTTTAAGGTCAAATGACTAACCATTCGAAGCAAGTCAAAGAGTGTCATAAATGACTGAATAGCTAGATAAGTCAACAATGTCATACAGGATTTAGAATAAGAAAGTTATTGCTCGGCAAAACTTTGACAGTTAGCTACGTACCTACTTATTCCCTGCCGAAGTCTGGAATCTGCCTGTTACAATGTCCTCGTCATACCAATTAATTCTCTGAATATGCTGGTGAAAAAAAATTAAGAACCATCGATTTTTCCAATTGGTGATGTGTGGCGCTGAGTTGGACACCAACGACCGGACTTCATGTAACGGAAGTTAGCAGGGATTCAGCAGGGGTTCAGCAGGGATTCAGCAGGGATCGACGGCCCCTACGATTTCGCTGAATTTTGGTGGAGAGGTGCAGAATGGTGTCCTCTATCGAAAATCCTAGTGCCAAAATGCGGGGAATCCATCAGGGGGGCCACAAATCCCAAAAAACAGTATGCCCTCAGGGCACAATCGACGAACTTTGAAAACCCTACTTCTAGCCGTCGAAACAGCTAAAAATGCACGTCATTCGAAAGAGGACAAAATTTTACGTGCAACGGTACCAAATTTAGGGGGCTAGCGCCCCCCTGAACCGAGCAAAACAGCTTCAAATATATGGGCCCGGGAGTATGCCCTCGGGGCATAAATAAATGTTTTCAACAATTTCAGGCCTATAACATCGACAAAATCCAGCAATATGCACATCATTGGAAAGAGCGTAATTTCCCAAACAAAAAACCCAAGCAACATTTTTCGATGGGGCCCACCTGGGGCCCACAGGACCCAATTGAAATTTGGGGCCCAATGGGGCGGCCCCTACGATTTTCTTCAAAATTTGCACAGACACTCTCCTGGGCCCCCTCTTCAATCTGGCTGAAGAAACCTACCGGGGAATCCAAAGGAAGGGGCCCAAAGAGGGCCCCAAAGAGGCCCTTTCTAAGTATTGCCCCTAATTTCGCAACCAACCCTGGCAATATGCACATCATTGGAAAGAGCGTAATTTCCCAAACAAAAAACCCAAGTAACATTTTTCGATGGGGCCCACCTGGGGCCCACAGGACCCAATTGAAATTTGGGGCCCAATGGGGCGGCCCCTACGATTTTCTTCAAAATTTGCACAGACACTCTCCTGGGCCCCCTCTTCAATCTGGCTGAAGAAACCTACCGGGGAATCCAAAGGAAGGGGCCCAAAGAGGGCCCCAAAGAGGCCCTTTCTAAGTATTGCCCCTAATTTCGCGACCAACCCCGGCAATATGCACATCATTGGAAAGAGCGTAATTTCCCAAACAAAAAACCCAAGTAACATTTTTCGATGGGGCCCACCTGGGGCCCACGGGACCCAATTGAAATTTGGGGCCCAATGGGGCGGCCCCTACGATTTTCTTCAAAATTTGCACAGACACTCTCCTGGGCCCCCTCTTCAATCTGGCTGAAGAAACTGATATAATGTGAGTTCTTTATTCCGCGTCTGCGATTGCGCGCCCACTTGGCGCACAGCCAACAAGAACACATCCACGCCCTGCGCGGGCCGGCGGCCGACTGCCGCACAACCGGCGACCGGTTTCCACCTGGCGGTCGCTAACTGAACTACGCGTAGCCAGGCTCACGATACAACACCCTGCCCCCCTGGATTTGAGTTCGAACATCGAACTATCAAACATAACTTACTCAACCTACGAGCCACCACAAACTAGTCAAATCCAGTCCGGTCACTTACAGCGTCAACACTGCCGCCTATTTTAGTGCGATCACTGACATCGCTCACATCCGTGCGATACGAACATAACTACAAATTCACTGACTTTAGAGTCGCGCACGTCTGCCCTTACACTGCTTATCAGTCTGTACTTCCAAACGATAATAACTAATCAGTCATCACCCTTCTCGGCGGTACAAATTGACCCACACTTTCCCTGGCCAATCACATCTGTTATCCACCTTATCGGTGGCACCTATTGACACACGGAATCACATATTCTTCCGCTCGATCCTTCCGCCCGATCACATCTCCGTAAAATCACGTATTTTCCCACCCGATCACATCTCAGTTATCCACCTCCTCGGTGGCTGAGAGTGACGCACGGATAACCGCCGCCGCACCTCTGCCGGCGGTCCTTTACAATCGCCGCCGCGCGCGCCATGTCCTGTCCCACCGGCGCCGCTCACCACTCCCGGCGAAGCGTTAGGCTTGCTACCGCGCGCGCCGCCGGTCCCACCAGCACCGCTCACCGCTGCCGGCGGTCCGTCAGTAGCGCCACCGCGCGCGCAACCTGTTCCTTCGGCCTCGCTCACCGTCTCTCCACCGCTCGCCCGAGGGCGACCAGCCCGATACAGATCCGCTGCGTCGCCGCTACACTCTGTGAATCCGCTCGCTGGGGGTGTCACCACTCGGCTGTCTCCACCGTCGCCTCCGCTGGCGCCGGCACCGGCCCCGCCGATCGCCCCCGGTACAGCCGACCTGATGCCTTCGCTGGAGATCCTGCCGGCAGCGCCGGGCGGCGCCGGCACGGCCGTCCTCGCGCCGCCGCTGGCGCCAGCACCGGGCTCGCCGAGCGCCGCTGGCACGACCGTCCCGGCGGCGGCCGCCCGCTGGCCGGTCCGCACTGGCTCCGCGCTGATGAGTTGATCGACGTGCCGCGACCAGAGAGCATCGGCAACAGCTATCTCATACGACACCGGTCCGGTCCGTGCGGCCACCGTCCCCAGTCTCCACTTCTGCGGGCCGCTGTAACATCTAGCCCACACCGTGTCTCCGATGTTCAGCTCCCTGTGCCGGCCGCCTGCCGCCTCCCGTTGCCGTTGCTGCTGATCCCGAAACCTGTCCATCGGATCGGGCCGCAGCGTATCCAGCCGCGTCCGCACGTTCCGGCCGAACATCATTTCGGCTGGCGATCGTCCCGTGCCCGAGTGCGGTGCCGCCCGGTAGGCCAGCAGAAACTTCTGCAGCCGCTGTGACAGAGAACCACCATCCCGCAGGGCCGCCTTCAGTCCGTTCTTGGCCGTTTGCACCGCCCGCTCCGCCGCTCCGTTGCTGCTTGGGTGATATGGTGCCACCCTGACGTGCCGCACTCCATTGTTGCTCAGGAATGCAGCGAACGGAGCAGAGGTGAACTGAGCACCATTATCCGACACGAGTTGGCGGGGGATGCCGAAACGCGCAAACATCGCCCGCAGCTCTCTCACAGTGCTCTCTGTGCCCGTCTCTCGCATCGGGATCACCTCCAGCCACTTGGTATAGCTGTCGCACACCACCAGAAAGTTCAAGCCCTGGAAGGGGCCCGCATAGTCTATGTGGATACGCTCCCACGGGCCTCCGGCCGGCTCCCACGGGTGCCGATCACTGTGGGGCGGCGCTCCTCGCTTGTCCATGCACTCTGCGCAATCGCGTGCCGCGCCCTCGAGCTCTGCATCCAGCCCCGGCCACCACACATATCGCCGAGCCAAGTTTTTCATTTTTGAGCTGCCAAGGTGCCCCTCATGCAGCTCACGCAGCACCCGCGCCCGGAGCTGCTGTGGGATGACAGCACGGCCGCCCCACACGAGACACTCGCCATCCGTCGACAGCTCGTCCTGGCGCCGCTTGAAAGGCACCAGCTCCGGCTCGACCTCAGCCGGCCAACCGCACCGGACGAACGTTAGCACCCTGGCCAGCACTGGATCGCGCCGCGTTGCTGACGCAAGCGCCTCTGCCGTCAGCACCGGCGCCGCGCCGTCCATGTAGCACAGGAAGCTGACGTCGGCTCCTTCTCTGTCGATCTTCTCTCGCTCGACACCCGAGCACGGCATGGCCAGGCGCGACAGACTGTCGGCCATGTGCATGTGCTCGGACCGGCGCAGCTCCACTGCGTAGCTGTACGCCGCCAGCTGCAGCGCGTACCTCTGGAGGCGGGCAGCCGCCAGGCTCGGCAGGTCTCTGTCCGGGCTCAGGATCCGGGATAGAGCCCTATTATCCACCACGAGCGTGAAAGGCCGCCCGTACAGGAACCGATGGAAGCGGGTTATCCCGAATGACACCGCCGCTGCCTCGCGCTCGACTTGTGGGTACTTCCTTTCTGTGGGCGTCAGCGTCCGTGACGCATACATCACCGGCCTCTCCGCCCCGTCCGGTGTCACGTGAACCAGCGCCGCGCCGACACCCACACTGCTGGCATCTGTCACGAGCCTCAGCGGCAGGTCCGGGTCATACCGCATCAACACCGGCGGGCTAGTCAGCATCCGTTTCACCTTCTCCACCGCCTTGGCGCACTGCTCTGTCCATGCCCACGGCACGCCCTTCTTGGTCAGCTGATAGAGCGGCGCCAGCACTGTCGACAGATCGGGCAGCAGACGCCCGAAGTAGGTGATGGAGCCCAGGAGCGACCTCAGTTGGCTGACGTCCGTCGGCTCCGGTGCCTGCAGCACTGCTGCTACACCGCCGTCAGTCGGTGCGATGCCCTCAGCCGTCACCTTCCACCCCAGGAACTCGACTTCTGGCACCGCCAGCTGGCATTTCTGCGCCGCCAGCCGCAGGCCCTGCCGCTCCAGTCTTCCGAGGATCTCGTCCAGCCGCTGCAGCAGCTGTTGCTCGTCCGCTCCGAACACCAATAGGTCATCCAGGTAACACCGGCATCCCTCCTGTCCTTCCAGGACCCGGTCCATGGCCTCCTGGAAGAGGGCACCGGAACTGGCGACCCCGAACGGCAGTCTCTTCATGACGAATTCGCCCTTGTGAGTGCTGACGGTCGTCATTGCTCGAGACTCCTCATCGAGCGGCATCTGCTGGTACGCATGCTTTAGGTCCAGCTTGCAGAACAGCTTGCCACTCACCCCTGCGAACACATCTTCCGGCTTCGGCAGCGGGTGGTGCTTGACGATCAGCTGCGGGTTCACTGTGAGGTTGTAGCTCGCACAGAGCCTCACCCCGCCTCCCGGCTTCGGCACCGGAACCAGTGGCGTGCCCCAGCCTGTACTGGTTTCGGACGGGTCGACCTTTCTTGCTATCCCGTCTCTGACCCATCGGTCCAGCTCGGCCTCCACTTGCGGCAGCAGCGCGTACGGTACTGGTCGCGGTGGTAGCCGCCGCGGCACCGCGTCCGGCTTTAGGGTCAGGTGCGCGCGCTGCTCCATCGTGCCGAGGCCCCCTGCAAACACTGCTGCGTGCGCCGCCGTCACTGAGCTCAGCGTCCGCCCGCCGCTCACTTTGCTGGCCTCGCTGACCTGCAGCAGCGACCGCCAGTCCAGACGTATTTCACGCAGCCAGTCGCGCCCCAGCAGCGGGTGGTGTCGGAGCTGACCGCTGACAACCACGTTCAGCCGCTTCCGCTGGCCGCCATACTCCGCCTGCACGGTCGCCTCGCCGCGGACCGGCACCGGCTGACCCGTGAACGAGCGTAGCTGCATCTTGGACGGTCTCAGCTTCAGTCCCGGGATGCTGCCGTCCGCCACGATCGACACTGGTGACCCGGTGTCAACCAGCATCTCAGTCTCCCGGCCGTTGACAGACAGAGTTACCAGTGGCAGCCGGTCCTGGCTCGTCAGCTGCGCCACCGTCATCACGACATCCTCCTCCACGGACGCCACCTGTCCGATTCCTGGACAGTCCCGCTTCAGGTGTCCAGTTCTGCCACATTTGAAGCACCTCCTCTTCTCGAGCGGTCCGCCGCGTCTGCTGTCTCGCCGACCGCCGTCTGCCGGGCCGGGCGGGCGAGACACTCCGCGCTGCTGCACCGCTCCTGCCACCGGAGGGCGCGCCCTCTCCGGCGCCGAGTCCGCCCTGGCCGTCGGACAGTCCCGCCGCCAGTGTCCCCGGCCTCCGCAGCCGAAGCACGAGCCCGGTCCCGGGCGCTCGGCCGGCCTGGCCGTCTCCGCCCGCCGCTGGCGTCTCACCACCTGGACTGCCTCCCCGTCCGTCGCAGCCGGTACCGGCGCCCCTGACAACCGAGTCGTCAGGTCCATGACGTCCCGGTGGGCGCGTGCCGTCCGCCGGACATCCTCCAGGTTGAGTTCGTCGCCCTTCAGTGCCGCTTCCCTCACCAGCTTCCGCTGCAGCTCGCCTCGGCTGCCCAGGACGCAGCGGTCTCGCAGCTCCCGGTTCACCTGCGCCGGCTCGTAGCCGCAGCGCAGGATTTGGGTCCGTAGCCTGGCCAGGAACTCCTCCAGGCTTTCCTCCGGCTCCATTGTCATTCCTTGGAATTTCCCTCGTTCAGCCACGACGTTATTCCTTGGCACCAGGTACCGTACCAACTTCCTTTTTAGCCGGGTGAACTCGTCTTCCTCCGGTCCTTCTGCCTCCTCTTCCGGCAGGGAGTCGCTGACATCGGCTATGTCAGGCCCCACCAGGTGTAGCAGCACGGCGCACCGTCTGGTAGGCCCTTGGATGTCCATGGCGACCATGTAGCGCTCCAACGCTCGCAGCCATTTCTCGAAGTCCGTGCCTGCCCGGTACGGCCCCGCAGACACCAGCTGCATGCCCGTTGGATCCATCACGCTGCCGTGCTCTCACCAGCGCGTCGTTCCTCCGGCCGGCCCGCCGCCGCTCCACCGGTCGGCCCGCCGCCGCTCCACCGGTCGGCCCGCCGCCGCTCCACCGGTCGGCCCGCCGCCGCTCCACCGGTCGGCCCGCCGCCGCTCCACCGGTCGGCCCGCCGCCGCTCCACCGGTCGGCCCGCCGCCGCTCCACCGGTCGGCCCGCCGCCGCTTCACCGGTCGGCCCGCCGCCGCTCCACCGGTCGGCCCGCCCCGGGCATCACCGCTCACACCGGCCGGTCACCGCACACGCCGGTCGGCCACCGCTCACGCCGGTCGGCCACCGCTCACGCCGACCGTCACCGCTCACCGCGCCGCCCTGCGCCCGTCTTGGCGCTGCCGGCTGCGGTTTCCCGCGCTTTACTCGACGGGGGAGTCACGTGGTAGTGACGTCACACGCACGTCACCGCGCGCGCATGCGCACTCGTCCCGAACCGCCCGGCCGCGCGCCAGCTTCCCGCCGAAATTATCCGCTTGGGGACCAGGCACCTCAAACCGCATTGAGGCCCTCCCCGCCGCACCAATCGGCCAATCACACGCGCTGCCACAGCTGCGCGTCACCCCCGGCCGACCAATCAGCGTGCAGCACGCCGACGCATGCGCCACGCACACCACACTGCCGAGGCATCATGGCCGCCACAAATGGCGATCACATGGAAATCCTGCCACGACCACGGCCGCCGCGCGACAGGCAGACTACCAGCAGCAGCGCGAAAATAAAAAATACTAAGCAATACTAAGCACTAAGCATTCGTACTAAGCAACGTTTGCGCCCTCACCGTCCGTGGCCTGTCCGCCCTCACTGACCACCGCGCACTGATCACCGGTCCGTTTCGCCATCACTCGCAATCACAGCTCCAAGGCTTCACCTTGATCTGATCCTCGTCGCCAATTTGATATAATGTGAGTTCTTTATTCCGCGTCTGCGATTGCGCGCCCACTTGGCGCACAGCCAACAAGAACACATCCACGCCCTGCGCGGGCCGGCGGCCGACTGCCGCACAACCGGCGACCGGTTTCCACCTGGCGGTCGCTAACTGAACTACGCGTAGCCAGGCTCACGATACAACAGAAACCTACCGGGGAATCCAAAGGAAGGGGCCCAAAGAGGGCCCCAAAGAGGCCCTTTCTAAGTATTGCCCCTAATTTCGCGACCAACCCTGGCAATATGCACATCATTGGAAAGAGCGTAATTTCCCAAACAAAAAACCCAAGTAACATTTTTCGATGGGGCCCACCTGGGGCCCACGGGACCCAATTGAAATTTGGGGCCCAATGGGGCGGCCCCTACGATTTTCTTCAAAATTTGCACAGACACTCTCCTGGGCCCCCTCTTCAATCTGGCTGAAGAAACCTACCGGGGAATCCAAAGGAAGGGGCCCAAAGAGGGCCCCAAAGAGGCCCTTTCTAAGTATTGCCCCTAATTTCGCGACGAACCCCGGCAATATGCACATCATTGGAAAGAGCGTAATTTCCCAAACAAAAAACCCAAGTAACATTTTTCGATGGGGCCCACCTGGGGCCCACAGGACCCAATTTAAATTTGGGGCCCAATGGGGCGGCCCCTACGATTTTCTTCAAAATTTGCACAGACACTCTCCTGGGCCCCCTCTTCAATCTGGCTGAAGAAACCTACCGGGGAATCCAAAGGAAGGGGCCCAAAGAGGGCCCCAAAGAGGCCCTTTCTAAGTATTGCCTCTAATTTCGCGACCAACCCTGGCAATATGCACATCATTGGAAAGAGCGTAATTTCCCAAACAAAAAAACCCAAATATCATTTTTCGATGGGGCCCACCTGGGGCCCACAGGACCCAATTGAAATTTGGGGCCCAATAAGGCGGCCCCTACGATTTTCTTCAAAATTTGCACAGACACTCTCCTGGGCCCCCTCTTCAATCTGGCTGAAGAAACCTACCGGGGAATCGAAAGGAAGGGGCCCAAAGAGGGCCCCAAAGAGGCCCTTTCTAAGTATTGCCCCTAATTTCGCGACCAACCCCGGCAATATGCACATCATTGGAAAGAACGTAATTTCCCAAACAAAAAACCCAAGTAACATTTTTCGATGGGGCCCACCTGGGGCCCACAGGACCCAATTGAAATTTGGGGCCCAATGGGGCGGCCCCTACGATTTTCTTCAAAATTTGCACAGACACTCTCCTGGGCCCCCTCTTCAATCTGGCTGAAGAAACCTACCGGGGAATCCAAAGGAAGGGGCCTAAAGAGGGCCCCAAAGAGGCCCTTTCTAAGTATTGCCCCTAATTTCGCGACTAACCCCGGCAATATGCACATCATTGGAAAGAGCGTAACTTCCCAAACAAAAAACCCAAGTAACATTTTTCGATGGGGCCCACCTGGGGCCCACGGGACCCAATTGAAATTTGGGGCCCAATGGGGCGGCCCCTACGATTTTCTTCAAAATTTGCACAGACACTCTCCTGGGCCCCCTTTTCAATCTGGCTGAAGAAACCTACCGGGGAATCCAAAGGAAGGGGCCCAAAGAGGGCCCCAAAGAGGCCCTTTCTAAGTATTGCCCCTAATTTCGCGACCAACCCCGGCAATATGCACATCATTGGAAAGAGCGTAATTTCCCAAACATAAAACCCAAGTAACATTTTTCGATGGGGCCCACCTGGGGCCCACGGGACCCAATTGAAATTTGGGGCCCAATGGGGCGGCCCCTACGATTTTCTTCAAAATTTGCACAGACACTCTCCTGGGCCCCCTTTTCAATCTGGCTGAAGAAACCTACCGGGGAATCCAAAGGAAGGGGCCCAAAGAGGGCCCCAAAGAGGCCCTTTCTAAGTATTGCCCCTAATTTCGCGACCAACCCCGGCAATATGCACATCATTGGAAAGAGCGTAATTTCCCAAACAAAAAACCCAAGTAACATTTTTCGATGGGGCCCACCTGGGGCCCACGGGACCCAATTGAAATTTGGGGCCCAATGGGGCGGCCCCTACGATTTTCTTCAAAATTTGCACAGACACTCTCCTGGGCCCCCTTTTCAATCTGGCTGAAGAAACCTACCGGGGAATCCAAAGGAAGGGGCCCAAAGAGGGCCCCAAAGAGGCCCTTTCTAAGTATTGCCCCTAATTTCGCGACCAACCCCGGCAATATGCACATCATTGGAAAGAGCGTAATTTCCCAAACATAAAACCCAAGTAACATTTTTCGATGGGGCCCACCTGGGGCCCACGGGACCCAATTGAAATTTGGGGCCCAATGGGGCGGCCCCTACGATTTTCTTCAAAATTTGCACAGACACTCTCCTGGGCCCCCTTTTCAATCTGGCTGAAGAAACCTACCGGGGAATCCAAAGGAAGGGGCCCAAAGAGGGCCCCAAAGAGGCCCTTTCTAAGTATTGCCCCTAATTTCGCGACCAACCCCGGCAATATGCACATCATTGGAAAGAGCGTAATTTCCCAAACAAAAAACCCAAGTAACATTTTTCGATGGGGCCCACCTGGGGCCCACGGGACCCAATTGAAATTTGGGGCCCAATGGGGCGGCCCCTACGATTTTCTTCAAAATTTGCACAGACACTCTCCTGGGCCCCCTCTTCAATCTGGCTGAAGAAACCTACCGGGGAATCCAAAGGAAGGGGCCCAAAGAGGGCCCAAAAGAGGCCCTTTCTAAGTATTGCCCCTAATTTCGCGACGAACCCCGGCAATATGCACAACATTGGAAAGAGCGTAATTTCCCAAACAAAAAACCCAAGTAACATTTTTCGATGGGGCCCACCTGGGGCCCACAGGACCCAATTGAAATTTGGGGCCCAATGGGGCGGCCCCTACGATTTTCTTCAAAATTTGCACAGACACTCTCCTGGGCCCCCTCTTCAATCTGGCTGAAGAAACCTACCGGGGAATCCAAAGGAAGGGGCCTAAAGAGGGCCCCAAAGAGGCCCTTTCTAAGTATTGCCTCTAATTTCGCGACCAACCCTGGCAATATGCACATCATTGGAAAGAGCGTAATTTCCCAAACAAAAAACCCAAGTATCATTTTTCGATGGGGCCCACCTGGGGCCCACAGGACCCAATTGAAATTTGGGGCTCAATATAGCGGCCCCTACGATTTTCTTCAAAATTTGCACAGACACTCTCCTGGGCCCCCTCTTCAATCTGGCTGAAGAAACCTACCGGGGAATCCAAAGGAAGGGGCCCAAAGAGGGCCCCAAAGAGGCCCTTTCTAAGTATTGCCCCTAATTTCGCGACCAACCCCGGCAATATGCACATCATTGGAAAGAGCGTAATTTCCCAAACAAAAAACCCAAGTATAATTTTTCGATGGGGCCCACCTGGGGCCCACAGGACCCAATTGAAATTTGGGGCCCAATGGGGCGGCCCCTACGATTTTCTTCAAAATTTGCACAGACACTCTCCTCGGCCCCTTCTTCAATCTGGCTGAAGAAACCTACCGGGGAATCCAAAGGAAGGGGCCCAAAGAGGGCCCCAAAGAGGCCCTTTCTAAGTATTGCCCCTAATTTCGCGACCAACCCCGGCAATATGCACATCATTGAAAAGAGCGTAATTTCCCAAACAAAAAACCCAAGTAACATTTTTCGATGGGGCCCACCTGGGGCCCACAGGACCCAATTGAAATTTGGGGCCCAATGGGGCGGCCCCTACGATTTTCTTCAAAATTTGCACAGACACTCTCCTGGGCCCCCTCTTCAATCTGGCTGAAGAAACCTACCGGGGAATCCAAAGGAAGGGGCCCAAAGAGGGCCCCAAAGAGGCCCTTTCTAAGTATTGCCCCTAATTTCGCTACCAACCCTGGCAATATGCACATCATTGGAAAGAGCGTAATTTCCCAAACAAAAAACCCAAGTATCATTTTTCGATGGGGCCCACCTGGGGCCCACAGGACCCAATTGAAATTTGGGGCCCAATGGGGCGGCCCCTACGATTTTCTTCAAAATTTGCACAGACACTCTCCTGGGCCCCCTCTTCAATCTGGCTGAAGAAACCTACCGGGGAATCCAAAGGAAGGGGCCCAAAGAGGGCCCCAAAGAGGCCCTTTCTAAGTATTGCCCCTAATTTCGCAACCAACCCCGGCAATATGCACATCGTTGGAAAGAGCGTAATTTCCCAAACAAAAA